CCCAACATGTACCATGTGACACGGGAACAAAATCTTCAATCGCCATGAAATTCGCCCGCCGTCTCGTATACCTTTGTTGTCCACTAGTCGCCCCGCCTCGTCGAGTAACAGTAATCTACGTATCGTACCTTGAACGAGGATGAAACCTCTCTGATAACAGAGTAGTCTAGCCGCGAGGAGATTGGAGATGCAAAGGACCGTCCATCTTCCCTCCACGGTCCCCCCTCCACCGGAATCTCCTCGAAGGCGGGAAGCCCTCCGCCTGATTTGTTGCCTGAAACCTCATGAATCCCCCGAAGGCGAGGGCCCGCTGCCGCGGCGGGGCGAGGACCAAGCACACCGCCCGTAGTCGCTGCGGGGTCGCTCGCCGCCGCCGCGGAGTCGCCCGCAATCGCCGCAGAGTCGCTCATGTCAGTAGGGATACAAATGTTGAAATCACTAATTAAGGAGTACTCGTTGCAAAGAACACTCCACTTTCCCAGGTCGCGACAAGTGGTGCACATGCAGCGCGCCACTTGTCGCAACTTGGAAGTTTTCCCTTTTTTCGTAGATTCATTTATTCAAAACGCTTTATCTTTTAAACCGTGCGTCCAAATCTCGAACCATTTTCGTCATTGGATTCCTCGCGTCAAGATCTTTAAAACTAGATCCCATGTTGATAGATTTTGACGAACTTTTTTTTCACGAAAAAAACCAGACGAAAAAAACCAGGCGAAAAAACCGAACCCGGAGAACAGTTTTTTTCCTTTCCGAAAGAGGCACACCCGTGCCTCTCGCGAATCACACCCGTGCCTCTCGTGGAAGCAAAACCGTGACTCTCGTGGAAGGAAAAAAAATAGAAAACACGTTTTTTTCGTTTCCGAGAGGCACGGCCGTGACTCTCGTGGAAGCACAACTGTGCCTCTCGCGGAAGCAAAACCGTGACTCTCACGAAAGAAAAAAAAACAGAAAACGCGTATTTTTTTTCCTTTCCAAGAGGCACAACCGTGACTCTTGCGGAAGCAAAACCATGACTCTCGCGAAAGAAAAAAAGCAGAAAACGTGTTTTGTCCCTTTCCAAGAGGCACGGCCGTGACTCTCGCGAAAGCACAACCGTGCCTCTCGTAGAAGCAAAACCGTGACTCTCGTGAAAGAAAAAAAAACAGAAACGCATTTATTTCCGTTTCCGAAAGGCACGGCCATGACTCTCGCTAAAGCACAAGCGTGCCTCTCGCGAAAAAAAACCGTAACTTTCGCGAAAGGGAAAAAAAGAAAACACGTTCTTTCGCGTAAAAAAAAATTCTCAATTTTTTTGATCGAAAAGCTAAGTAAGACCGGGGAAAACCAAAACGTAAAAAAAAACCCGTTTAAAAAGCTAAAAACGCGTACGAAAAAAATAAAAAAAATAAAATCCGATGGAAGCGTCCAGAGCGCGACACGTGACGAATGACTGAGAGCGCGTCAAGTGGCACTGATCGTTGCGAGGCTCCCGAAGGAGCGCTCGTTAACTAGTTGCTACAAATGTTCCGGCCCATCAGTCTGCACGTTTAGCCTACTCACTTGATTGGACCGAGAGTTGGCTTGATATAAACCCTGAGTTTCTTATTTCGTGCCCACGGGCGGACTGTAACACAAAGGAGCTCCACTATAGTACAAAATATTAGTGCACTTGTAGTATTTTGACGGGAGAATCGCGCGTAGAAGGCGCGGCAGATGTGTGATTCTTCCCAGCAAGCTCGTTGGTCAAAGGAGCTCCTGCTCCTCGTGACCTGGTCTCCCATGCCCGTCACGCCGTCCCGCGATATGATGCCACATCTCCTGTTTGCTGGCTGTGCACATGGATCAAATCAAAAGCGAACAAGGAGGAAACGGACGGAGAGAGAGACCCCCGTCCACCGATTGGACTTTCCCCGCCGATCCCTATCCAACCGGCAGGAGGGAAAAGATCGATCTTTGCGTCCGGCGCGCTCTGGGACCGGACGGGTTCACCCGTCGGCGCGACGTGTGTGTGTGCCTGGGCTCGCGCGGGGGGCGTCGTGTCTGCTCGTTCGTTCCGTATATGTGTGTAGGTTTACTTTTGCTGGAGCTGTGCTAATTAAAGTGTAGGAGACACTCCAAGCTCGAGTCGAGTACATGACCCGCACCGATGAAGCGCAGATAAATAAAGCGGGAAAGACCGACGGGTTCTTTACAAAAGGAGCCATACAGCTTGTCATGTACTGGTATGCTGCAATCGTCACACCTTTACACCCCCCATCCTAAAGAGAGCCTTTTCTTTTATCGGGAAACTAAAAAGGGAGCCGACCTCGCCACGTTCTCTCCTTCAACGTACTCCTAGTTCTCTTCGCCTAGCCTAAACCATCTCTAGCCAACCATTTACATCTCCGACGATCCATTTTAATTGGTTCTTTTTGTTGTTGAGGCAAATCCATTCTGAGTAGTAAAAAGAGAAAGAATGGGAGAAATATTTCACTAGTTGGCCACCCACCATAGACGACGACGGCAGCTGGCGGCCTCAGCCGATCCGCCACATTCCCCTAGTCCGGGTGAGTCCAACCGCTTCGCTCCTTTCGCTAAATCTAAAGTAAAGGAAACCCCGAGCTAAATCCAACGCTAGAATTAAACACGCTCGCCACGGAAAGTACGCACCAGCGAGTGAGCTCCCACCTCCCTCCCTCCCCTCCTCTCTGCTCCCACCACCAAACCCTCCGATCCAAACCCTCTCTCACCTCGCATGCGGCCGCGCCCCCCGAGGCGGCGGCGCAGCTGACCCCTTCCCACCGCCGCTCCCGGAGCCCGCCGGCATGGGCGGGGTCACGTCCACCATCGCCGCGCGCTTCGCCTTCTTCCCGCCCGCGCCGCCCTCCTACACGCTCGTCGCCGACGCGGCCACCGGCCGCCTCCTCATCCCCGAGATCTCCCGGCCCCCCGCGCGCCGCCGGAGGCGGGACGGCGGCGGGGACTCCTCCTCAGGTGCCGCCGCAGCAGCCGAGGAGGAGGACGCCACGGAGGTGGTGCGCCTCCGCACGCGCCGCGGGAACGAGATCGTCGCCGTCTACGTGCGCCACGCGCGGGCCTCCGCCACGCTGCTCTACTCCCACGGCAACGCCGCCGACCTCGGCCAGATGTACGGCCTCTTCGTCGAGCTCAGCCGCCGCCTCCGCGTCAACATTTTCGGGTAATGCTCCCCTCCCCCCGCCTCACTTCGCTTCATTCTTACTTCTTCGAAGCCGGAGTTGCTTGCGGCTGAGAAGGTTTCCATTAGGGGAAACTTCCGGGAGACGTTTGGGAAAGGTGCGTACTGGGTAGTAGTAGTAGGAGTATATGGATATGCGTTGTGCATTTATTAGCAGTATTAGATTCCGTGTGCCTATTTATGAATGGTTGCTGCAATTTTGCAAGAGGGGTTTTTCTCTATTTTTTCGGAGTAAATTGGCGAAAGATCATCTTATTTAGGTAGTACCACTTCACTGCTGCAGATCCTCTTCCTCTCAAATGTTTGAATTGCACACAAGATAAGGAAAAAGAACCTTGTTGCTAGTATTAGCTGCGGATGAAATTCAGCTGTATTAGCTGCCACGTTTCCCCGTTCCAGTTAGTTACTGTTTAGCACTATGTAATCTGTCCAGCCATGAAAATTATCTTTATATTGCTGTCCAACACGGCGAGACCCTCAATGTATATTTGGTTCTTGCTTTTGGTGTTAAGGGACACACCATATCAGTCCATTAGTTTAGAAAACCTCGACCTTATTTCTAGGATTAGATGGATTTAAGAAAACAGGCGGTTGCCTAGTAGTGTGCTGTATATGCTACAGCAGAAACTCTGTAACTTAAGTTTAATATAGTTCCAGTTCCAGGCCATCTCTTGTTAGTTACACCGTTATACGGTAAGAATGGGGCCATGGTACTGTACCCGACATTGTGGGGGTGCTAAAGAAATAAGATAATGTATTTTGTGGAGGTAGCTTGGATCTGACACAAGAAACTTTTCGAATGATGAGGAGAGGGTATGTTGTATTTCGAGGCATAATTAGTGGGTCTGTCTAGTGGATCACCAATGTACCTGATGATTGGAATTATGCAGACATGGATCCCAAGACCCCTCCCCCCACACCACCCACACACTCGCTTGATTTATGTTCAAAGTTAGTACCCTACAAAAGAATATGTTTCCCCCCTGACATCCATCTTAATAGACCCCCCCTACGTGTTGCAGGTATGATTATGCTGGTTATGGGAGGTCTACAGGGAAGGTATATTTGTGTTTGCGCTGTTTCATCTTTAACTTACATAGCAATGCCAATCTTCTATGCAAGCATATCTTAATGGACAATTTATTCTTCCATTGAACAGCCCACTGAGTATAATACATATGCAGACATTGAAGCAGCATATAACTGCCTCAAGGAAAAATATGGTGTGCCAGATGAGGATATAATTTTGTATGGACAATCTGTTGGAAGTGGTCCAACCATTGATCTTGCTTCACGGTTGCCAAATTTGCGAGCTGTGGTTCTTCACAGTCCTATTTTATCTGGACTGAGAGTGCTATATCCAGTCAAAAAAACTTTTTGGTTTGACATTTACAAGGTTAATTCGATTCCCCCCCCCCCCCTCCCCAGAGTTGTTGATGATAAATGGCTGATAAAATTTTCCTCCATTTTGTAGAATGTCGACAAAATCAGCCTGGTGAATTGTCCAGTTCTTGTCATTCATGTAAGTTCTATTAGTTTACCCTACCCTCTTCTTTTTCAATACTGTCTGCCTCTTGCATTGCCTCTCTGGTGGGATAATGGATTGAGAAGCTGACAATAGATGATTCATTTGTAAATGCTCACCAAGCCAAGTATGTAAAAATAAAACAAAAATGAATCAAATGAACAATCAGATGTCAAAGTTGCTGGGGTGATAATCTAACACTAGAGTTTCTACTTTACAATTTTGGTGCTTCAGTTGCCATAAGCCCATAACTGAAACAATTATAATACTTATGCCAGGGCACGTCAGATGATGTTGTTGATTGGTCCCATGGAAAGCAGCTATGGGAGCTTTGCAAGGTGAAACATTCGCCTTTGTGGCTAAGTGGCGGTGGGCACTGCAACCTTGAGCTGTATCCTGACTACATCAGGCACTTGAAGAAGTTTGTGTCGAGCCTTGGCAAAAAATCAACGAAACCTGACTTGAAAGAGTTACCAGCAACAGAAGACACATCTCGCAAAGACGCAGAATCTGTGTCCTCGGACAAACCCCAAGAAGCTGCAAAGTGCCGACAGATCTCGCGGAAGAGCTTAGATAGTAGAGTTGGGAAATCCAAAACGGTGGATGTTCCTGAAAAGCCACGAATGAGCTCAGATGACGTTGACAAGTTTAGGAGGAGAAGATGCTTGGTTTGGTGATCTATGATATGACGTCTGCACAGTTCATGGAGTAGTTTCCGAACACCATGGAATGGGGATCAAGCAACTGTGTCATACTGTATAGCGAGGAACAACGCCGACAGTTCCCGCAGTAGAGGGATAATAGCTGTGTTAAATGTGGGAGAAGAAGAATGAGGACGCTGGTGAATAAGCTGTTATTTATCAAAGAGGGTACGTCTCAACATGGTAACTTTCTCGGTTAATTAACCTGTATTGCAACCCCCAGTGGTGGTAGGATTTCCATCATGTAAAAGTGTACCGTGTTATTGTCTGTAATCACGAGGGACAAGGATAGAACATTTGCGGCCACTTTGCGGCGCAGTCTAAAGTCTTGGAGCAATCACAAGAAGCAACATATTCTAGTCTGGATATGCAAATATAGTGTTCATATGTTTTGTGGCTTGAAAGGAACTTTCCATTCGTTGCGTCTTTCTGCACTTCATGTGTGTACACTGTACTGTATGTTACTTAGAATCTGACTGTTGGGGCTGCAGAATAGACATAACTCAAGATCAGGTGAATCCCAAATGGTAAAAACCTATGTAATCATATGCATCATATAACCAGTTCAGCACACCACTCCAGTGTACGTACGTAGTATGTACAGTACTGTCTCTACCGTGGCAGTTTAAAAAAACAAGCACATATTTACATCACCTGGAAGGGAAAAAAAAAAAGGAATCGTCGGATCGCTCATACACGGCAAGCAAATCTCTCAATAGTGATAAAATAAAAACTCGGCCGGCCGCAAACACTGATCTACTAATCTACTACTGGCTGGTGTTAGGGGTGGTGTTCCTGCTGTCCCAGGGAGCGTGCACCGTGTTGGGAGAGAAGGGCTCGGCGAAGTCCTTCTTGCCTTTGCCTCCACCGTCTTTGTGACCCAGGCAGTCATCCTGGATGGCCCTGAGCACGTCCAGCACCTCCCTGATCGGCGGGCGCATCTCGCCGTTCTGCTGCAGGCACCGGAACGCCAGCTCCGCCACCATGGTCATCATCTTCCTCGCCGCCGGGTCCGACTCGTAGCCGAGCTCCACGTCCACCAGCTCCTCCAGCCGGCACTTCTGGATCTTGCTGATGGCCATGCCGGCCAGGTTGATCTCGTTCCTCTGCCGGGTGATGTCCACGGCGGGCTTGGACGAGATGAGCTCCACCAGCACCACGCCGAAGCTGTACACGTCGCTCTTGTCCGTCAGCTGGTAGCACTGGTGGTACTCCGGGTCCACGTACCTGCCATCAACAAAATGATCCGTCAGTTACATGCTCCTGTCTGTGTCTGCACAATATATGCCATGGACATGAGCGGCGTGGGTGCGTACCCTGGGGTGCCCTGGGGGGCGGTGGAGACGTGGGTGGCGTCGAGCGGGAAGAGGCGGGAGAGGCCGAAGTCGGCGACCTTGACGTGGAAGTCGGTGTCGAGGAGGATGTTATTGGTCTTGACGTCGCGGTGCACGATGGGCGGCTCGATGGCGTGGAGGTAGGTCAGCGCCGCCGCGGACTCCACGGCGATGCTGAGCCGGAGCGGCCACGGCAGGGCGCGCTCCGCCGCGCGGGGCCCGTGCAGGTGGTCGGCCACCGTGCCGTTCTGGACGAACTCGTAGACCAGGAGCAGCTCGCGGCTCTCCTTGGAGGTGCACCCGTAGAACATGACCAGGTTCGGGTGCCGCAGCCGGGCCAGGATCGCCGCCTCGTTCACGAACTGCTCCACGCGCCGGTAGCTGTTGTTGTACAGCCGCTTCACCGCCACCACCCGCCCGTCCCCAAGGTAACCTGCAACCCATGATCAAGTTCAGGTCTCCACCAACAGAGCTACGTAGGTAGATTGTTGCACAAGTGCATTTCACGTGTTGTAGTACCTTTGTAGACGGTGCCGAAGCCGCCGTCGCCGAGCTCTCTGTTCTCGTTGAAGGAATCGGTGGCCTCCTCGAGCTCCTCGTAGCTGAACCGGTTGCCCATGTCCTGGGAGCTGCCGGACTCCATGTCGCCGCCCCTGGAGCGCGTCGGGGTCCCGCCCGAGCCGCTGTACCTGTACTTGAGGAGCTTCGAAGACGAGTTCACCACCTTCCTCTGCCTTCTCTTGCGAATGAACAGAAAGACCATGACAGCAGCAACAAGCAATGCACCTCCGACACCGACCACCACACCTGATTTTTTTTATGAAGATCGAACATATTAACCACTGGCATTGTGTCAGCTAGTTGTACAACTCAGAGGAATGTACAGATAGTATCAGGTCGATGCGATGGTAAGATTGACACAAATCTCTGTTACTGAAAGAACTAAATCAAAAGCGCAGTTAAACTACAAGTGTCAGCAGAGTGCAAGTTCATATTTCACATATGCTGAATCACCGATCAATCGTAGCTGCTGAAATAGCTTAAACAGGTCTTGTGCGGCATCCAAACATTAACAAGGAAAGAAAATAACTGCACGAGTATTGATAAGTGACACGGGACATATGTATGTGTAGTACCTGCTATAGTGACATACCTTTTCTTGTTCGAACCTGCATGACAATAACAAACACACAAAAAAGTCAGCAATAAAGTCTCAAAATTACAGGACAACCAAATGATGAGTAATATATTGTTTCCTGTCATTAATTCTGACTGCTTATTGAAAACTATAAAGGCAGGAAAACACGTATGCTCAAGACAGCTGAAATAGCCATACGAATATCTGACCATTGGTATCAGAGAGTTTGGAAAAAGCATTCAAAGACTACTAGTCTTAAAAGTCTTGGTTTTTATACTTAACAATAAGCTTCAGTACTTTGCATTAGGGGTCAATTTATTCCCCACAAAAGAGAGAGGGACTAAATTTTGAGCCACCAACTCACACCATCTGAACTTGTCTAGGTTAGGTTATTAGAAGATAAAAGCAGATGCAGCATCTTTGCATTCATCTTTTCTTTGTTTTGTTGAAGAATTGACATTTTGTGTTCAAGAAATGGTGCATCATGACAGCAAGATGAAAAATACAAGACTTTGTTCACATTTATGAGGGCTTAGTCCTTAAAATCACAATTAACATATGCATAGGCATGCATGACAGATAGTACTCCCTCCGTCCGAAAAAACTTGTCCCAGGCTTGTCCCTCAAATGAATGTATCTAACACTAACTTGGTGCCAGATACATCCATTTGAGGGACAAGTTTTTTTGGACGGAGGGAGTACTATTTTAGGGGACACTATATATATCTATATGTAGGGTTTCAGCATCAGGAAAGATAAGTGAAGAATTCATAAAGGCACGCAAAAAATGCATGCTCAAGCCAGTTGAAATCCTGAAAAATTTCCCTTGTAAAAAAGTGAAAATATTATTTTACCATGACGTTAGAGCGTCTGGAAAAGCTTTCAAAATGAAAGATTAATACTACTAGAAAGTCTTGGTTTTTATACTTAACAATGAACTTCAGTGCTTTTGCATTAGGGCTCAATTTATTCCCTACAAGAGGGACTAAATTTTGAGCCACCAACTCACACCTATGGATTTTTGCATTCATCTTTTCTTAGTTTTGTTTAAGAATTAACATTTTGTTTCCAACAAATGGTGCATCATGACAGTAAAACGAAAATACTATGCTTGTCGAAGAATTAACATTTTGTTTTCAAGAAATGGTGCATCATGACAGCAACACTAAAATACTATGACTCTGGATAAAGTTGTAGCAAAGCATACAAGTTTGCATTTTGCGGTGGGCTTTAGTCCTCAGAGTATTTGTTAACATACTTTACAATGAACTTCAGAGAGTATATATAGGCATGGCAAGTAGTAGTATTTTAGGGGAACATTAAAGATACCTATAGGTAGGGCATCGGCATCAGGAAAGAAATTTGAAGAAGTCATAAAGGCAGGAAAACTGAAAACTACATGCTCAAGACAGCTGAAACACTGAAAAGTTTTCCCTCATATAAAAAATGAAAATATTATCTGACCATGACGTCTGAAAAAGCATTCAAAATCAAAGACTAATGGCCTGGAAAGTCTTGGGTTTTATACTTCACAATGAACTTCAATGTTTTTGCTTTAGGGCTCGATTTTTAATTCCTTGGAAAAGACGGAGCAAATTTTGAGCCACCAACTCACACTATCTGAACCAGTCTAGGTTAGGTCTAAAGATAAAAAAGCTGAATAACACGCCCCCAAATTGTTCAAATCAGACGTTGATGGTCCAAAGTAATGTTTCTGTAGCCATATGATAGAAGATTTGCACAGATTTTGGAGGCGGCCCAGATCTCAGGTTGCTTCACCTGCCCTGTGTGGATCATGCGGTGTGAACACCAGCGTTGCAGGGCAACAACGACCAGCGGTCGAATGAATGTGCCTCCCTTCTTCTGTCTGTTATTACAAAGTGTGAAAGGATGTCGACCCTTCAAGTAAACAGGGCAAAGGCCTGGTGCACATCAACTTTGCGACCGATCACCTACTGAACCATTAATTCGCTGGTTAGCTCTTGCCGGGAAGCTGCCGCAGCAGCCAAGACGGCAGACGGGGCATGAAAAAGTGCTACTGCCACCTCCGATCCATAACAAGTGTCGCAGTTTTGAACTGACCCCGCGGTCGCTGGATGGAGTTGCGCGTAACCGGAGACGATTTTGGAGCTCGGAAGGACCGAGTCCATGGATGGAGTTGTGTCGATGTGCATTAATTTTTTCTTCCCCGAGTAGCCGTATGGTGAAGCATACGCGATCGACGTGATTTGCTGGACATGGATGTTCCGGAAAGAGTATTAACTCCTCTCGACGCAACGCAATGACGGTTGGGCCATGGGGAGGAAAATCGGAGGCATCATTGTCGGATGGAAAAAGAAGGCATGGGAGGATGAATGGTACGGGTGTGATTTATTGAGCTTCATTTCCTTTCTTTTTCCAGGGAGAGCTTTGGTTCCTTTCACACGCTGATATTTCTCTTTCTTCTACGCTGAAAATTCTAAGTTGCTCAGGTGGCCTATGCACCCGTCAGGTTATGAGTGTGGATGAAGCTAGCGAGTACCATGAGCCTATGATGACTTCAGTTATGGCATGCAAATTACTACTAGTGACTGCCAAGCGAAGCTTCCCAGAGTGTCCGGATTGTTGGTTGTGAGTGAAGGACGGGCTATAAGGCAAATGAGGATTCTCAGCACCAAGATTAGATGGTGTGTACGGTGCTCGGTCACAGAAGTGCTGCAGCAGTTTGATCGGAACGGTGGGCTTACCGGGCAATGGCGCGGTGGTGTCAGATATCTTGCTGCAGCCGGCGGCGTTGCCAACTACCAGGGCGCCGTTGGCGCAGAAGCAGCCCAGGAAGCCCGCGGTGCGGTTGTACCCGCACTTGCCGCCGGATTGCTCGCACGGGTCGCACGGGCCGGAGCTCCGGTCCCAGCCCACCTGGAACCCGCCGCGGAGAGCCTTCGCGTACCCGTCCTCCCTCCACCCGGGGTCCTTTGCGTCGGCCGGGAGGGCGTCCTTGAGCACGGGCGCTGCGTAGACTGACCGGCACGCCTGCCACCAGTCCTTGGGAGGGATCTCGCGCTCCGGCAGCACGAAGGACATGGTGGCAGGCTCTTCTCCGGAGCTCCCGCAGGTGACCGGCTTGATGCTCGGCGGCTTGCGCAATGGCTTGGGATTGGGAGGGAAATCGGCTTCCGGCGGGAAGGTGCAGTTGAGGAAGAAGAAGAGGTAGGCGACGGTGGAGGTGGGCAGATGGAACTGCTTCGGGACGGTCACGTTGTGATCGACCATGGGACAGCTGGTGCCATCGTCGAGGGCGTCGGCGTCGGCGAGGGAGACGGTGAGGCTGGTGTAGTTGATGCCCGACACCGTGTAGTCGTGGCCCCCGAGGAGGAGGGTAGGCTTGTCGTCGTCGCAGACGATGCCCAGGCCGGGGTAGCCGCAGTACGACGACGACTGCGGCCCGCCGTACGCCGGCACTGCGTCCTCCGTCCCGTTGTAGAGACGGAACGGGTAGCGGACAGTGAGATCGCCGCAGGTGAGAGGCTCGAGCTGGCACGTCGGGCGGTCGGCTAGACCGCCATGGGAAGCGGCGGCGAGGAGGACGACGAGCAGGACGACGATGACATGGCCGAGGCGGTGGCGGTGGAGGGGAGACATGGCCAGTTTCTCGAATTCTTCTCTGGTTGGCACGAGCTGGGCCGGTTTCTGCGCGGTTGGTTGCCTGCCTCCTGGTTATAAGCCGCGCGCTGAGCATGGCTGGGCGGGGTTCGGGTGAGGGGGTTGGCCGGTTGGGTGGGCGGTGCGGGACGTACGGCACCGTGACAGTTGATGGGACGCCTGTGCTGTGGCAGTTGCGACGGGCCAGCTTGCCTCGGCTGTGTCAAGTCTCCTCCCCGTAGCTGAGCCGCGACTCGACAGTGGTTTCTTTAGGAAATACGCTCGTGGTCTGTATAATATAATTTGGCGTTTTATCTGGAAGATTTGGTTGCCTTTAGGAACGATTCTGCTGCACCTGCACGTCTAGGAAAGTGGTTATGCACACTCCTCTCATTGGCCATGTGGATATCCCGACCGGTCACCCAATCTTACATTTAAAAATGAATATGATTCTGTAAACCTTGAAATAATCTAAAAAATACACTCGAAAAACCTTCCGTTGATTTGATAAATTTCGAATTCATTTGTTGGTAAAAAAATTCAAAAAAAAGGAACCTCCTTTTCAAAAAAAATCTATGATACTTTCAATATATGAACAAACAATTTAAGTTTCAATAAAAGCACATCAGAGTTATTGAGCAATGATTTCACCCATCGCGGGTTGAAATCCCGGACACATGGAGATCCAGACTGGTCACCCCGTCTTCCACTTCCCCTTTCGGCACAAACATGAACATGATTTTGTAAAACTTGAACTAATCCAAAAGGTTTCCTTTAGAAAAAACTCTCAATTGGTTCTACAAAAAAAACTAGAAAAACTTTGCCAGATGCCATAGCTATGCAGAAAAAACTCAATTGGTTCTAAAAAAACTAGAAGAACTTTGCCAGATGCCATAGCTATACAGTGCCTGGAGTTGCAAGACATGGCCTTAGGTTTTCCACTTATTTATAAAAAAGACAGTGAGGTGGAAGATGAAAGATTGGGAACAAAGGAGACTTTTCTACTAGAACAACATATTTGCACTTGCGCTCTGGAACTAGGGATGCAAGAGTGGGGTCCCACTAGGCCTGCAAAATGGTTTCAAGAGTGGGAACCACCAACCTCTGTGGAGGGTATTTTTTAAGTGTAAGGTTACTGTGTGGTGTCTTGGGTTTTAACTTTATTCTACTTCAACTTATTTTGGACTGAAATGTCTAGTTGTTGTTGTTGTTGCTGTTGTTACACTGACACCCTTGTAGTCCGAGAGACATGGTTCTTCTCTCTCAGAGCGGCATAACGGTCCAGAAAAGAAGGACAATGCATGCATCATCTCGACGGCCAAGCGAGTAGAGCAGAGCAAAAGTTGTTAGAGGTTTTTGATGAGTTGCAAGTGAGCAAAGTAAAGGGTGTTGAACTCAAGATGAACTCCTATCTGGACATGTACAAAAAACCGCTCCCATCACAAATGATTGAGGCATTGAAAGCTTTGGTGGGCATCGGATAGCCAAAGGTGGACCTTGCAGGATGTTTTGCACAAGATATTGTTAGTCCATGATGCATGGATGCATGGATGGTGGCAAGGGTCGGTAGGAACGAGTCTTTTTGGCATGGTGATTAGTTCGGTTGCTCTTGAGATTCGTTTGTTAGTTTTGGGCTTGGCGCACTTGTGTCTGGCTCAGATGATGTTTCTTGATGTCGTGTGTGTGTGCTCTTCTAGTCCCTGCCCCTAAATTTCAGTGTTTATTTTTTGGTTTTGATTTGGCTCGGATCCAGGCATTATGGTTTTCGGCCTAGATTTCCTTAGAAACTGGTCACTTTGGGTCACTTTGTATACTGAACGAATCGACAGAGCTCTTGTCTTGCGCCGTCAATTCTTTAAAAAAACTACTAAACCTGAATCTAGGTTGCTCCTATATACTAGCAATTCAACGGATCGTGCGCCTACTGTCAAATCGGAGAATTCCTGGGTTCCAAGAATTCGTATTCTGAAGAAAATGTTACAGGAGTTGTCATCCCTGAAGAAACGACACGACACTGGAGATCAGAGTTATGCGGGATCTGATAGGCTCGGTTTACAACGTTCAGAAATGTTTCAGACGTGGCGAGAAGCGACATCAGGAAGATTCAAAGCATCAGCAAGCGGCGTTCACCCCGAGTACTAGGCAGGGAAAGGAAATGGAGGCTGCCAGATGCAAATTGACTAACAATGGTGGAAGGCTACAACACCGGAAGTTTAAAATGAAAAGAGTCTTGGATATCATCTGGCAGGCTGGTAAAAGGGTTCAGATCTTAAGATGCCCATCCTAGATGGGCACTTGTGCATGGGCCAATTCCTCAAGACCTGTTCATAGGTCTCAAGATATGACTCTGTTTTCTAGATTCAGGCCGTATGAAATGAACTTCCCATCAAAAAAGACGGAGAAGAAAAAAACCCACGTATGAAGTGAAACTGACGAAAATAACGACCTCCCTCCGTTCGATATTGGAAAAGTAAAAAGGCTGCGCATGCGTACCTGCACCTGCAGTCGCGTTACCAGTCGAGTTGCCGCATTCCTTATCGCTCACTCGCCCGTTGCTGCACAAGCAACCAATGAATCCTCCGGCTTGGTTGTAGGCGCAGCGTCCAGTGGAATTGGATTGCTCGCACTGCATACACGGCGGGGATTTCTTCTTGACGTCCCAGAACAGCTGGAAGCCCCGGCTGAGAACCTTGCCGTATCCATCGTTTACCCATCCAGCATCTTTTGGGTCGACCGGGTCATGTTTGAGCACAGGAACTTTGTAGATTTGCTCGCACGCCTGCGACCAGTTCCCGAGGGGCACTTTATCATCCGGGATCACGAACGAGAACCGTCCAAAATAACCGCTGTCAAAACCTTGGCAGGTGATATTGCCGATGGCGGGCGGCTTCACGAAGCCAGAGTTGTCAGGAAAGTAGCAGCCGAGGTAGAAGAAGATGTAATCCACCGTGCTGTTAGGAAAGTCCAACCATGAGACCGGTGGGATGGTCACGTTGTGATCGACTTTCGGGCAGCTGCTGCCGACGACCTCCGGATCGGCTAGAGAGACGGTTGCGCTCGTGCCGTCGATGTTCTTCACCGTGTAGTTCTCGGTGCCGTTGAGCTGCAGGATGGGCTTGTCGTCGTCGCAGAGGATCCCCAGGCCAGGGTAGCCGCAGTAGGAGTTGGCGTAGCCCTTGACATCTTTTGTCTCCCCGGCGAGATAGAACGGGTAGCTGATGCTCACGTCCCCGCAGGTGTAAGCTTGATTTAGGCACATGGAGGTGTCGTAAGCACCATCATCAGATGAATCGCCATGGGAGGCGGCGACCAAGAGGAGGAGAAGCAGCAGCAGCCGGTGGCATATCAGGAGAGGCATGGCTATGGGCTAATGGAGTTAGGCGAGCGAGGTTCTCTTTTTCTTCCCCTCTGGTGTGGTGGCTGTCTGCACCGGGCTGTTTCTTTCTTGGCACTGCTGGCATTGGCATGGCAGGCCCGATGAGAGGGACATGCCGGGAAGGTCCCTCCTTTGACCAGTCCGGTGTCGCGCACATATAACGCGAGTGTGCCACGCAAGTCGTCTCTTGTACTGCTACCTCCCGTCGTTGTTCCGTGGAGACTGGTGTGCTGCTTTATTGGCCCAGCCGCGTGGAAAAAAGGCTTCTAGCTAGTCGCCGATGCATACTTTTGTCTTCCAGAACAAGTTTTTTATTTGGGAATTGGTAAGTTCTCTTAATGGTCTCTATAAAAACAGTTCACTTGTGTTGGTGGTAATCCAAGCTGGATCCCGGCCACAGTAAGAAAGAACTAGGACCCCGTCAACTCTCTTCCGAAGACCTACTGAGGATGCATGGGTACGTGTTTGTCCAGCCCCGGAAACTCAGAGAAGAAAAGAAGAAAGAGAAGCTCCAGAAGAGCTTCTCGAACGCGAGGCAGCGGTTCGCCTGATGGTAATGGTAATGAACCCCACAGTCACGAGCGAGTGCGCATCGATACAACGTAGGGAACAAAGGTGTGGAAAAGGTCGGGAACCATCCTTGTCGACTGACGACTGACGAAATGGGGAACGAATACCGCTTCTGCCCTACCCCAACGCGCCGTTGTTATCGTCCGTTTGTTTGCAGATGTGAATAGAATTGAAGGGCCGGTTGTGTGAGCCCACGCATGTTCATCTAGAGTAGACAAGAATGATGAGTAGTTTGACACATGCCGTTTTGTGAGGCCGTTGTTATCGTCCGTTTGTTTGCAGATGTGAATAGAATTGAAGGGCCGGTTGTGAAGGACTGACCTGATGATGGAGGGTTTGGATTCTTGCAGATCCCGCCGGAGCACAAGCAAGCAAGGTATTCCTTCTTCTCGTTGTAGGCGCACAGTCCCTCCTGGGATTCCTCGCACTCGTAGCATTGCTGCTCCTTGCTCTGCTTCCATTCCAGCTCGAACCCTTGCTCAAGCACGACACCATAATCCCTCGGCAACACGACCAGACCACTTCTCAGAGCATTTTTCTCGAGTACGGGCGCGATGACCTTGTGCTTGCAGTACTCAGCCAGTTTGTAGTCTCGAGAAACGTTGCCTTCTTTAGAGGTGAAGACGAAGGAAACACCGTCTCCACTGCCTGGAGGCGGAGTGAACCCTTTGCAGCCGATCTGGAACTTGTCTAGCGGAGAATCAGGAGGCAGGTGATCGCCCTCTGTGGAGTAGCAGCCGAAGAAGAAGGTGAGCTCCTCCAAGAAGCCGGTGTAGTTCAGCAACTCCGGGTCGAATGTCACGTTGTGGCTGACTGTGGGGCACTTGCTGCCGCTAATAAGGGCTTCAGTGTCACTGAGAATTATGGTGTACTTGTCGTAGAAGATGTTATGAACGGTGTAGTTGTGTAACTTGTCTTGGCCGAGTTGAAGGATTGGGATCGCGGCCTCCCCCTCGCCTTGGCAGAAGATCTTCAAATCAGTGTAGCCGCATGAGTAGGGTGTGTAATCAGAGGTTGCTCCAGTGGCGTTTGACAGATAGAATGGATATGTGAT